CGATGAGGCAGTGGCTGTTGAAGTTGATGAATCTGCAGACGACACGTTTAGTTTCTTTTTTCCTCTCTTTTTTTCTGATTCAATTTCAACAAGAGTAGATTTTGTTGTAGTTGTCGATTCATCTTGATTATCAAGAGGCTGTTTTCCAGATGTAGTGCTGGATGTAGTGGTGGTGGTTGATGAAGTTGATGACTCTGTAGGCTCCAAGTTTAGTTTTCTCTTTCCTTTTTTCTTTTCTGATTCAATTTCAACAATGGTGGATGTTGTTGTGGTTGTTGATTCATCTTGATTATCAAGAGGTTGTTTTTCAGATGTAGTGCTAGAGGCAGTGATGATGGTTGATGACGATGAGGCAGTGGCTGTTGAAGTTGATGAATCTGCAGAAGACGCGTTTAGTTTCTTTTTTCCTCTCTTTCTTCCTGATTCAATTTCAACAATAGTGGGTGTTGTTGTGGCTGTTGATTCATCTTGATTATCAAGAGGTTGTTTTCCAGATGTAGTGCTAGAGGCAGTGGTGGTGGTTGATGACGATGAGGCAGTGGCTGTTGAAGTTGATGAATCTGTGGACTCCAAGTTTAGTTTTCTCTTTCCTCTCTTTTTTTCTGATTCAGTTTCGATAATCGTGGTTGTTGATTCATCTTGATTATCAAGAGGTTGTTTTCCAGATGTAACGCTAGAGGCAGTGGTGGTGGTTGGTGACGATGGGGCAGTGGCTGTTGAAGTTGATGAATCTACAGACGACACGTTTAGTTTCTTTTTTCCTCTCTTTTTTTCTGATTCAATTTCAACAATAGTGGGTGTTGTTGTAGCTATTGATTCATTTTGATTATCAAGAGGCTGTTTTCCAGATGTAGTGCTAGAGGCAGTGGTGGTGATTGATGACGATGTGGCAGTGATTGTTGAAGTTGATGACGATGTGGACTCCAAGTTTAGTTTTCTCTTTCCTTTTTTCTTTTCTGATTCAGTTTCGACAATAATGGATGTTGTTGTGGCTGTTGATTTATCTTGATTATCAAGAGGTTGTTTTTTAGATGTAGTAGTGGTGGTTGATGATGATGTGACAGTGGCTGTTGAAGTTGATGAATCTGCAGACGACACATTTAGTTTCTTTTTTCCTCTCTTTTTTTCTGATTCAATTTCAACAATAGTGGATCTTGTTGTAGCTGTAGATTCATCTTGATTATCAAGAAATTGTTTTTTAGATGTAGTGCTGGAGGCAGTGATGGTAGTTGACGACGATGAGGCAGTGGCTGTTGAAGTTGATGAATCTGCAGACGACACGTTTAGTTTCTTTTTTCCTCTCTTTTTTTCTG